GGAGATGCATGAAAAGTGAAGTTAAATACAGAGCATAAGTCGCACTCGGTATCACGAGGCATTTTGAGGCATACTCATTTCGATGTGGGAAAAAACAGCGAGAGTGACCAATTTTTCGTTCAAAAGCTACTGATAATGTTGAAATATACTTATAGAGATTATAAGTAGCATCATCGATTTTAATGGCAAATGCATACTTGGTCCATCATTGTTCACAATAAATATGAGTTGGGATAATTCGGGCTTGTCTATTGGCACTCGTAGCAGTCGAGTGGAGTGGCAGCATTTCACCACGACACACAAGGCCCGATTCGAATCCCGGTTGAGATGTTGGAGGTCTACTCAAGTAATTGTGGAAAAAAATATTATTATCCTCTTATTCTGTTTTTTCTTGATTCTCCCCCGACTGGCCGAGCCTCAGAGGCTGTCTTCAAGTCAACCAACACGCAGTTGGCGGTTGGTACTCGAGTCGTCACTTTCTCCAGTCCTGCCCGTCCATTCCCATCCACCTCTCAGAGCAACCCCACAAGGCCATGACTGAAGCTGCTGTTTTTGCCTTCACCTCACATTTTTCCCACTCCGCCCGTACACTGGCATAGCGACGAAGTGGCCGTCGAGTTTGCATGAGCCGGATTAAACCGGCTGGTCATTGTGTCAGGTTGAGGGGAGAAGACAGAGTGGCTGAGACTGTCTTCAGGCAGATCAGGACATAGCACGTATTCCGCCCTCAGGTTGTGTGTGAGGCGAGCTGAAGACCGGTGGAGAGAAGAGACACACCTGCACACTTGCGCGTGCGCCTTGTGCAAACTGACCGCCGTCGTCTGGGCTACCCCAATTGGGATCATCAAGTGCCGGGCTGACGGGGCCGACCAGATCCCATGGCCCGAGGCCGCTAGGCCTCAGAGTGGACGCGGCCCGGACGGCCTGGAACGAAAAGGTCCAGACCATCCACTCTGCCGGACCGGGTCTACCGAAGGAAGAGAGGCGGACCGGTACCCCCACACCGAGGCGCACCAGTCCTCACCCTCCTCGGTGGCCAGATCTCCCTCTCTGGTGCTCGGTCCCTACTCTTCTCGACCTTGGGCTTCTTCGCTTTGCCGTCTGGTTCGCGTCGATACCGTCCGCTCATCGTGTTTGCACAAGTGGTCAATCGTGCAAATTCCCCCCCTCCCCCCACTCTCCATTCCACCCCACCTTTTGGTGTGTTGACTCGACCTTAAAAACTGTGTGCACTTAGACTGCAAGTGGGAGAAGTGATCATGTGCCGGGTGATCATGTGATGTGAATGACCGACTGTTTCTGCGGCAAGCACAGGCTAGTCGAAGTAGGGGACATTTGAGTGAGGGGATGGGCAAACGGTCGCAAGAAGAGGAAAAGTTAAATCAAAAAGTCAAACTGGCCCCGTGTGAAATTGACCAAACTGGCTGGATGAAGAAGAGTTCGGCCGGTTTGCAGAGGCTGCCTGGCCCGGACAGCCGGGTGGGATGGCACGGGACGGGACGGGGCAGGGCAGGGCAGTTGACGACCGGAATTGGGGCCTAATCGGGCTAGCAACAGAAGTGAACGGCAGGGGCAAGCGGAGGTGCACGACTTGGAGACTCGATTGTAGGCGCACACGTACGCGGGTCTAATGGCTCTTGGTTGTTGGCAAGATCTGTTTGTGTTGACAAGACGTGTATCAAATGCTGGCAGCTTGACCCAAGTCATCTGGCCTCCGGGCCCCATTAATACGTCCCCGTCCATGTACAGAACGCTCCAAAAGCCACTTCAACAGGAAGTTTACATGTTTTATTTGAACAAATATCTACTGTGCCTACAAGGGTTCACTATTTCTCCTTCACTGCAATTTTCTATCGACTGTAAGATCTTCCGCGCTTCCTTGTCGGTGCTCAAAAGTGTAGCAAAAATGCTGTCCTCTCACAATCACAGTTTGAGACAATGACTTCCAAGCGTCTGTGCTACAGCTCATCGGGCGACGACTGCAAGACTTGAACCACGAGCCAGTCAGGTAGGACAGAATATATGGAAATAAAAGTTTGGTTTCGATGAATCTTTTGTTTCATAATTGTTGAGCTTACTTCCATTTCGAGTGAAAGTGTTGGGTGAAGAAATTAGAAGTTCGGTTCCACCAGAAGACGACAGCGGATTCCTCTTGACCAGCTTTCGATTGGCTTTACTGGAAGATTCATGCTGACGCTGTTTCCGAGGCAATCTCTTTCGATTCCGATGAAAATGAGCTAAGCTTTCGTGCGTCACATGACGAACATCATCAGAGCAAGGTATCATCTTCACAATAAAATTTAAGCTAACGAGTTTGTTTTGCTGTTTTTTTTTCTTGACTCGTCCTCGCTAGACTTTAAGGATACAGCAAAATGTATAGTATGAAGCTTAACAAAAGAATCCTAATCACTTTAATACTAAATAGTCGAATCTGGTATGTCTCGATATCGATAGGCCTCCCGACGACTTTGAACCAATAAAGCGATTACTTGATACAAATACCAGTAGTATATCGAGATTTAAGGCCAAAATGAGTCTGTCTATTAACCTGAGATTCCCACAAAACGATGCAAACTAATAAAGGCCATGTAGTGTCGTGTTGCTTAGAGTTTAGCCACTTTGTGCGTCTATGGTTCAACTCTTGCCGAGGTAACTAATGGCTTGAATGGGCAAAAAATGAATTTCAGCCTATGGAGTTCGATGGCAAAACGAACTTTCTACCAAAAATCGAGAACACACACTTTCGAGGCAAAGAGTGTCATGAAGAGATTTAAGGGTAAAATTCATCAGAAGACAACGAGGGTTTCCCTTCAAACTAAGCTCATCAAATTTTACTGGAACACTCCAGGTGAATATGTCGGTGAGGAAATCTTAATCTCAAGTTAGAGGAGATGGATGTCGTGACTATTACTAGATCTTTCCTAAGAGATGTAGTCACTCTAGTTCGCATTAGGTACTAAAGAAGAGCTAGTAAAAGAATTTTTTACTATTCTACAAGTAGGCCTCACAATGCTTTTGTGGGAAAATTAGCTATCAATTCTTCACAAGCGAATAATGTTCCTATTCGATAGATTCTAGACCTACTTACTGAGAATATAAGTAGTGTAATAGGCTGTAATGATAAAACACAAGTTTGCATCAACTCACTTTAAATGTGATATGAAAAGTGGTTGGCTTGCCTTGAAAGTCTTGACTTCTACGTGAACTATTGACACATGTGGCATTGTGACGTAGCGGTAACATGTAGAAATTATACGCTGAGTTATGTTGGAGGTACTGATTCGACCGTTGGCCGCCCAGGATAAAAATACCTTTTGCGAGGCAAGGATAAGTGAAATCTAGTGGCATCGTGAAGCCTACACATCTCCTTGTGGCAGAAGGCAACCATTCGTCCTTTATCACCTTATTCGACATAGGGTGACTAAGTTTTTCCCTGTAAAAAGATGCCCAGTTTTCGTCTGTTATGCCAATTGACAGACTTTATCAGCGGAAGACAACACTTTCAGACGAATTCAAGTCAACAAGTCAAGAAAACTCACCGACCTTCCTTAAATGCTAAATATATATATATATACATCTTTCGTGTACCTTTGATTATTTACTAATATACATATATACACGAATTATTACACCCTTATTGGCTATACTTTTATATATCTTAAAAGCAATTTATACTACTCATATATATATATAATAAGGTATTGACTAATTTGATTGTTTCAGATGTCCCGAGGGTTGCGTCAATCTGAGAATCATATAAAACCTAAACGACTCAGGAATTTCTCATTCGCATGGAGTAGAATTCAAACCAACGTTGAGATACTAAGAGATGCCTCTGTAACCAGTTTCTCTTCAGACAAACGTTTCATAAAAATTAATCGTGGATAGAGTCGCCTTCATTCCAGCACCTGAACGAGTTGAAATTGACTCGCCTTGACAACTATCAAATTGTAGATTACTTCGAAACAGAAAGTTTTTACTTAATACAGACATCAGTGGCGCGTCAATTTTGATGACAAAAATGTGGTTTCCTGACTACGTGATATATAAGTTGAACGATGCTTATTTCATATTTAAAATCATGCTTGTCGTATGGAGCAGAGGATCTGGAGCGGTATGATTTAGAGGGTAAAATATTCACCCTTCTATAGAAACGCTCAATATTCGAATTCTGCCTAGGGAGCAGAAGACACGGTGAGACGAATAAGAATGTACGGATCTGAAGGGAAGATGTGTTTCACATATTTGTGCACTAAGTCATCGGCGCACCGTCCCGCAAAATGATGAATCCGTGCTGAGCTTTCGTCTATCTATTTGTGGCAGACATCTTCAACGCGTATAACCATAATTCACTAAGTACCATGACAATGAGGCTGACTGGCTGCAATCCCAACTTCATATTGTAGACTGACTTTGCTCAATTACTAAGACATCTTATGATTTATTTGGCTATTTTATGCTTTCCCTACATGCCTATAGATAAGGCAAGCGGCTGCAGTTGTCACCGAACAGATCTACCATGTAGACTACCATATTGTGAGTCGAGAGGAAAGAGGGAAACATCTATTTTGGTCATGCGAAAAACATTTGGGGTTTTTTGAAATTGTTGAGCTCATTTCCATTTCT